TGTTAAATTTTGTAACCGAAAATGGAGGGAAAAAAGTTAGAGGTTTTATTAAATAGATTTTATTAAATGCTATTGGCTAGTAATTATATATATATAGATTCTCCCATGGGACCCCTGCTCTGTGTAAAAAGTAAAAATTAAAATTAATAAACGAGAAAAATAATATATAAAAAAGACCATGACTCCCCCACATATCTTATCTCACAAAATTCTTTCAATCTCCCCAACCACCGCCCTTTTTACAAATTTCTAAATAAATAAATTAAAAAAAAATAAAAATTCCGGTGGGAGATATGGGCAAGGAGCAGAAGAAGTTCTGCTGGGGCTCCGCCATCGCCGGCGCGGCGGCGGCGGCAGCCGCAGCGGCCGCCATCTCGGCTCGGCCCCGGGACCCCACCTTCCACCTGATCTCCATCGACCTGACGTCGTTCAAGCTCAACTTCCCGGCGGTGGACGCGGAGATGATCCTGACCGTCCACGTGACGAACCCCAACGCCACCCCCATCAACTACGGCGACACCGAGATGGCCATCTTCTACGCCGGCTCGCTCCTGGGGTCGGCGCCGGTCCAGGCCGGGTCGCAGCCGCCGCGGTCTTGCCAGCTGCTCCGGCTGCCGGCGCGGCTGAGAGGGCTGCAGCTGGCCCACCACGCGAAGAGGTTCCTGGCGGACGTGGGGCGGCGGGAGATGGTGCTGGAGTCAACGGTGGACATCAGCGGCGCCGCGCGGGTGATGTGGCGGTGGGACCACCGGTTCAAGGTGCACGTGGAGAGTCAGGTGGTGGTCGACCCCGTCTTCCTCGATGTTATTGATCAGGAAAACAGATCCAAATTGGAAATATTCCTCAAGTCCTGATAATTGATCTGTTTGTGTTGGGTGTGAGATTTTTCTGATTGGGAATTAATTAATCTATGTTGTTATTTTGAGCTTCTCTTTTTTCATTCAAACACTGATGAAGTCAAAGAAAAAATTGCAGTATTTTTATTATATATGTTCTACTGTTCCTTTTATCTTTTTAATGTTCATTGGTTCACATTTCACAATAAAGTCAAATCATCGTGGTGAGAGAGCAGTAGGAGTAGGACACCCACCATCTTTTCTTTTCTTTTCATGACCCGATTCTTGAGGGAGGGAGATAAGGAGGTAATCCTTTCCTTCATTTGAATTTCTTTTTTTGTTTTATTAGCCACGGTTTTGGAGCTATGCCCGATTAATTCGTTGATCGACACGGGTCGCACACCTGACAGTGGAGGGTGAGTCTTCACACACACACACAAACAAAGGAGTGAGTTTTTATCACCTAAATATGGGTCCGGTCAACTATAGCTTTTATTTCCAAAATAAAATACACCAGTTTGAGTTTGATGTAACAGAAGACTTGTGAGTATGCGAACGATTAGAGAGTTGAATATTATTAGCGAATCCGACCGACTTACTTGGGACTTAAATAAATGCTTTCGTTTTTTCAGTTCTGCCGCAGGAGGCAAAAGGCGAGGCTTTGCTGCAGATTCTATAGCAGCTGATTTCATGAACCATTTAATATATATTTATTATTTAGATGAGAAGAAAGAGTCATCTATCGATTTGTGGCTTGTAAGCAAAAACTAAAATCTCTCATTTTTGTTTGTTTTTTTTTTTTTAAAATAAAATTTGAATAACATCTCTCAAAATGTTGTACTATTAAGAAAACAGCAATCACATTTGCACCATTTCACCTAAAATTCATCACCTCTTGTCAATTTGGCAAGGTTGGTGTCGGGAACTTTTTGTTGGATACTTGATGTAAAATTACACGAGAATCCAACGAACTGATATGTAATTTTCAATTTTTACAAATAATCTAAAAATAAAAAATTATAATTAAACTGAAAAAATAAATCTATCTATATATTAAAAGAATAACCTTTTTTAGGTTTCCGCCAAAATTTACCCGCGAGTTGTGTAGAAATTAAAATCACCGAACAGATTTATTGAAACAGATTTTGTAAAAAAGTCTGCTCTTTGATTTTTTTGGAAACATATTTATTTTTCTTTTTCCTAAAAGATAGGTAACTCAATCACCAATTGGAACAGATCTTAAAAGTTAGGTAACTCAATCGCGGAACAGATTTATTGGAACAGATTTTGTAAAAGGTAAACATAAAATACATCGTGTTCATTCAATTAATTAATTTAAAAAAATCTCATCTCTTATGCATCTACTCTAACATATTTTTCTAAAAAATTATCGTAACAATTTTTTTTTTTTAAAAAAATTGTTATTATTTATTTTTTATATAATTTATTTAGACTTATGATATTTTAGATACTTTTATATAATATTTTATCATGTCATATTATATCTATATACATATACAAATATATATACATATTAAATTTAAATATTTTTAAACATGTTTTCTTTACAACAGATTTTAAAAAACATATTCATACAAATGTAAAATTCAAATGTTTTTAAACATGTTTTCTTTCCAAAATAGTTTAAAAGAATTGTAGATGACTTCACATCTTTTAATAATAATACATAAACCTGTACATAATTTTACATGTTTTTAATATTTTAAACATGCAAACTTTATGTTCTCTACACAAGTTAATTTTATATTGCTGATACTAAACTGATATACGACGGTAAATTATATCACATGTTAACCCCACATCTTTAATTTATAATATTTTTTTTGCTCTTTTAAAATAGGATAACGGTTTCTTACCACTCAAACTCAAGTCCTATTTATAATTATTATTTAATAATATTTACCCGTGCATCGCACGGGGCTACGCAATAGTTGCAACTGAAAAACGGAAAGATTCTAGCCGAGGCGAGTAAAACTCTTTCCGCAAGAAGAAGAATACGCCCCGTATGGCAGCTAACTGTTTAGGCGTAACTTCCCCAAAGATACAACGACAAACGTCTCTAAATCTGTAGCACACCAGATTTACGAGCTCCGTCGAACGGGAACAGAATTGGGAATTGAACACTTAACAATAAAAAGAATATTTAAAACAAATAAACATATCATTTGTTTCTTCTCTTTTGATATTTTTATATCCGATATTTGGACATAAATTTATCTTTTCTTTCCTTTTTTTTTCTCTTTCTTTCCTCTCTTATTCTCTTCTTTTCTCTGTGTTTTTCTTCGTACTCTATATCATCAAAATGAACATATTTATAGTAGAGAGAGAGCAGATAAAGCCTGAAGAAAGATCAGATAAATGCTGACCAGATATGCCAATGCCAGGTTGCTACGCGTTTTCTCCTTCCCCATAATCTATTGATTAATATTCTTCCATGTGATTGGGTTTTAATTGTAATGGTTGGTCTGCCACTTATGATTATGATACTAAATAATTACAATAATATTTACACTCAATCATTTAACAACAATCCCCCACATAAGAAACCTCTCAAGTGACAACTTTTGCATAGAGGTGGAGTACAAAATTCAGAGTCATGGAAACTTCAGATGGGCAGTTTTTTTTTTTTTTTTTTTTTTTTTTT